TTTCATGGAGAATTTTCAATTTTCTGATATAGTTTTTTATTATATTATAATATTCATTCATTTTCTCAAATTGTAACTTTGTAATTATAAGGATCGATATTACTTTTTTAACATACTTAGTTAACCCTGTAAATGTTTTTTAACTGTTGGTTAATAAAGGCTATTATTTTTTTTTCACCGTTTTTCACCGTATTATTATTATCATTCATATTTTTCTTGCAGAGACGGCCTGGATAAGTGTCACATTCGAGGCCAGCATGATTCGTAACTGTAGGCTAAATGATATAATGTTTCATACCACAATGCTCTCGACTTTGTAAACCACCAATGCTGTTTATGTATGCTTTTTTATTGTTTGTAAATTTATTTCTACTCATTAGAGCATAAGAACTGTTTTCGAAGCAATTCATCACAATGTGTTTCAGTCTACAATGTATTGGCATGGTACATTAGAATATGCGGTTGCTCTACTCGCTACCCCCAAAGGCCGCCTCTGTTATTGCCTTAATGTTGTATTATTTGTTTGGATAAGAAATAGTTCTAAGAAAAATTTGTTTCATGAACTTTGCTGCCTTTGATAGAAAAAACAAATAAATACTTTTTTCAGTTGTAGTTGCGAGGGATGAATATTTTGAGATTTTATTTTGAAATATTTATATTCTAATTCGTATGTATATCTCCTCGATACAGTCTTTAGACACGGTTTGATCTCTGTTAGAGTATTGGTTCCGGGGATGTTTCTTCCCCGCTTCGTTTACGAGATGGAGCTGTAACTATTTAACAATCTTTCTCTCGAATAAAGGCTTCATGCATGCAGTTGAGCCACGTTAAAATTAATCGAGTCCCAGGCACATTACTGTCTGGGTCGGATCTTTCCCTCTCTGATGAGAGGTAATACCTCGAAATCGGTCTGTAGGTGATCTACCTACTCGAATAATTTCAGCATGATTCTGCTGCTGGATGAAGGGGAGACATCCGCGAGACTAACCTCTGTGAGTTATCTTGCATAAATGTCTGTCAGGTATAATTCAATGGTATAATGTCAGGTATAATGGTATAAGCCGGGGAAGTAGTTGTTTTCCGATAGGCATTAACCATAACCTACGTTGTAAGTAGTTAGGAGAGATGAATATTTCGAAATAATTATTTTCTTGTAAATACGTTTTTTATAAGAATTTTATTTTGTATTGAATTATCTCATTTTTTCAGGACTTGTTTGGTGAATCATCGGCCAGTAATATCCACTTGCTACCATTCAAGAAAACAGATGATTCAACTATTGTAACATGGTTCAACAAGTCACTAGCAACCAATCGATGTCCTCAAGAGAAAATAAAGTATCTTGAATCAGTCTTACACAACATGAACGATAAGTCAATTTCTCACAAGGTGCATTCAATAATGGAACCGGAGTTCCAGGTTTCAACGATAAAGGTCAATTTGATTGGCAACTGCCGACCAAGAGTAACCCAGGAGATGAAACCCGAAGGGGGCGTTTCAACCGAAGAAACCACACCACAGTCCAGTAGTGATGAATATCTGATAACTTTCATCGTACCTGCCATTATCATTTCTATTATGTTATTCTTGGCAATTATCGCTGCCATTGTTTTATATAGAAGAAAACGCATGGGCAAGATGAATGTTGAAGAAGATGGCAGGCAGAGTTATGGAAATAAAGGTGAGAATCAACCCCTAAATTTGACTTTGGTAGTTTTTTCAATTGGTGTATTTATTTTATTCATAAAATTTACAGGAGTCTACATTAATATAGTCCAACAATAAAATATTTATAAAACTATTTGTAAGTATGTTAGTGAAAACAGGAAGAGTCCAGTCTAAAAAAGTATACACTGTGGTTTTTCCTGTCGAAATTCATATGAAAGAGATTTCTATTTTATAATCAGACTAATTATTCTACAAACTGAATTTTGCAAGAGCATCTACAGAAATTTAATGAGTTCATTGAATGAAATTTATACAATTGTCATTGCACCTTAGATTAAATAATTCTTTATTTTAACTGAATGTAACATGTTGTCAATCACCTTCAAACAAACGCTGAATACCCGGTATGAATGTAACATGTTACAATACAAGCAAGTACTATACAGGGTGTTACAAATTCGATCCATACCATTAGGATCTCGGAAGCTATGAGAGATACCAAGATGATTAAATTCGAGCAAAGTTGTGCATTCACCTAAAAATATGCTTCTGAGAAAGTTTTGAAATTCCGAACATATCCGGATATAACTGGAAAAAACAGAAATTTCGGAAAATGGTCTTTATTTTTTACTGACTTCATTTTTCGAAGGATTTGAAAACAAATTACACTTCGACATTGCTACTTTTCTCCTGCTACATAATGGTGTTTTCAGATTTGCTATCTTCCGATCACCATCATCAACTTTATTTTTTCTTATGGGCGCTACATTGGATTCTTTCTATTTTCGATAGAATCAGATTTTACCTTATCAATGATGTTTCATAAGTTATCATTCTTTTTCGAAAAATTGGAGATATTGAAAAAAATTAATTCTTATCATAATAGGCTTTCACTTTGATGTTTCTAAATTTGACTTTCAATTTGTTACACTCAATGACATTTTATTATTGTACAAGTCATTGAATTTTTGGCGAAAAATGGCTTTCACGAATGAAGAAAAAAGAGATATGATACAAATGTATTACAAATACGATAGAAATAGTGTTAGGACATCGGAAATGTATTTAAACTTGTATCCCGAAAGACGACAACCACATTGAACTATGTTCAAGTTATTGGATCAAAATCTCACCGAGTTTGGTTCGTTTGAAAAGCCAATGAAAAAATATGGAGACAGAATCAACAATCAAAATTTGATGAATGAGGTTATATGAGGTAAATTAGACATTATATCCTTTCCAATGAAAATATAATTTTGAACAAATAACAATAACTTAAATGTAAAGACAAAAGTAAATCACAGCAAATGCTCAAAATGCTGGCCTTGTTCATGATAACAAAACTGTGCCCTTCTTCGAATATTATTCACTGCACGATTAATTTCCCTCCTCCTCAATCTTCTTAACTCTCTAAAAATGCTGTGTTGAAGGTCCTCAATATTTTGATATTCCCTCTGACCATAAACTATATTCTTTAGGGTACCCCATTAGAATGTATCCATAACACTTAAGTCTAGAGACCTTGCTGGCCACCTCACTGGCCCATTATTCCCTATCCGTTTATCACCAAACCTTTCAGTCAGGAAATTGGATACTCGTCTGGTAGTGTGCGGTGGAGCACCATCATGTTGAGACCATATGTTGTTATTGTTATCCAAAGGTAGATCATCCAAATAGTCTTCGAAAATCGACATTAAAAACTGGTGATAGGTTTCTCCATTCAGAATTTCGTCAAATAAATGAGGACCCAAAATTCTATCTTTGTAAATTCCTGCCCACACGTTAATACAAAATCGCACTTGAGGTCGAATTTCTCGGAACTGGCTGGGGTTGTTTATGCTCCAAATATGTTCGTTATTGCGGTTGAATATCCCACAATTCGTAAAAGTGCTTTCATCTGTGCAAATGCAATTTTTGAGATTTCTGTATTTTGTAACATTTTGAACCGCTTTTTTTGAGAAGTCTCCATGCACTTGTATGACAAATATTCGTTTAGGAGGAAATTTGATGTGTGGATTTCCCCGGGTTCATGTTTATCTGCAAATTATTAATTTTTATTGAAAAGGACACATTGTCTAACTTGCCTCGTACATACCTCATTTATCAAATTTTCTTTAGTTTCCTGGTCTGTTCTGTCCCCGTATTTTTTCCTCGGTTTTTCAAATGAACCAAACTCGATGAGATTTTGATCCAATAAATTGAACATAATTCGATGTGGTTGTCGTCTTTCGGGATATAAGTTTAAATACATTTCTGATGTCCTAACACTATTTCTATCGTATTTGTAATAAATGTGTATCATATCTCCTTTTTCTTCATTCGTGAAAGCCATTTTTTGCCAAAAATTCAATGACTTGTACAATACTTATGATGCACTGTTTGGAACCTTTGGTGTAGTAATGAATAAATATTACAAGAGTTTTTTCCCTTGTACAATAATAAAATGTCATTGAGTGTAAAAATCTGTTTCTATTCAAAACAGAAAGAATCCAATGTAGCGCTCATGAGAAAAAATGAAGCTGATGGTGGTGGCCGGAAGACGAAACGTCGGATAGAAAATCTGAAAACACCATTATGTAGCAGGGGAAGAGTGCCAATGTGGAAGTGCAATTCGTTTTCGAATCCTTCCAAAAATGAAGCCAGTAAAAAATAAAAAATATTTTCAGAAATTTCAGTTTTTTCCGGATATCTCCGGATATACTCGAAATTTCAAAACTTTATCAACGGAATTTTGTTAGTCAGGTAAATGTGCAACTTTGCCCCAATTTAACCATCTTCGTATCTCTCATAGTTTCCGAATCCCAATGGTAAGGATCGAATTTAAAACACCCTGTATAGTATGGGAAACGACACCATTATACAAGCAAGTTTGCTATTTGGAACATTAAGATTCTGTTGTTGAATAAAATAATATAAAAATAGATACATACATTTAATCACATAAGTGTTTTTTTTTTCTCTATTATTTGAATCCATTTTTTTTAAATGGTGTCTCACATAAATTGAAAAGGTTATATTTTTAGGAGTTATTAATTTTTGGAAAAGAAGGTTTTTGACTTTCTACTACTCCATCTTGATACAAAAAAATGTGGGTATCTTCCACAAAAAGGAAGAAAGCAATCAATAGAGATCGCAAAGAAGTAACTTTTTTGATCTACACATCTTTGTATAGAGTTACTTCTTTTGAAATTGTTTGCTTCTTTTCTTTCTTCGGAAGATTCCCACATTTTTTGTATCAAGATGCAGTAGTTATAAAGCCAAAAACTTTCCCAAGAAAGTGTCTTATATACTCATGATATGACAAAGGGAAGTAATCTAAATAATATACTTTTTTCTTTTGAAAACCAAGACGCATTCATCCAAAAACAAGCACTCTTTTTAATGCTCTCAGTAACCAGGTTGGCGTCTTCAGGAATTAAAGAAAAACTAATTTCTAACTCTAAGACTCAATATAACAGCTTACACTTTCACTTTCTGATAAACATCAATGATTTCAGGTAGAAATTTGCATAAAATTTTCTCGTAAAAGTTCGCGCAAAACAACCTGTTCTGGATTACATTATAAGATGAAGCACTTTTTTTTCATAACACTATGACTTTATCACCAGAAGAAATAACTCTGGTCTTGTCACATTAACACTTATTAATACAGAAAAGGGATTTTTGTGTAATTCGATATTCTTATGAAGTACTTGTTTTGAAAGGACGCTTTCTATATATTTCAATGTTCATATAGGTATGTTCATTACATCATACACCGCAGATATATAGTGTTTTTTAATTTGCTGCAATAATTCTTATTTCGTTGGTGGTAGACTAGAGGGATCGTACTCTAAGATTTTTCATTAAGAATTTCATCATTTTCATTTTTAAATTTACATCTTTTCTCAAATAATTCGTACCGTCCTTTATTTATATCATTTTTCATTGAATAACATCCTTCACATAGGTATAATCTTGAATTATAAACAAAAGTGAAAGATTATTGAACTTGCAATATAAAAGTGTTCATCTAGAAAAGTAACTGTTAGCGATACTTTTTTTTTTTTGTACTCACCAAGTCGACATTCGCAGTTTTTTAGGAACCACAATCAATGGCCTGGATTATATAACTTTTGTTGATGAAAATATGGGGCCTTACTTTTTCGAAACTGATAGATTCTTCTTCACTTCTAGGGAGAGATTTACCTTCATAACTTTTATGATTTTTATTGATGTTTGAGAGGCATGTTATTCACAATTTTTAGTAATTGAAGCTAACTATGCTCAAATGAATCAATTCTTGAATACTGTAGCTGTATGTTCAAGTTTGGATTTGGATACAAGTTTCATGAAATTCTGATTTTCTGTATTCTGTATAGACTATATCATCACTAACATTATTATTGATGAGTAGGTACTATTTCATTGAAGGTTTTGGCTTTCTAATTCTCCATATTCATACAAAAAATGTGGGAGTCTTCCAAAGAAAGGCAGGAAGCCATCAATTTAAAAAAATTAACTCTATACAAAGATGTGTAGATCATGCAAATAAGTAACTTTCAGACACAAACTGGAAGAAAAAACCTTCTCGAAATAGCTATGTCCATATAAACATTGAATTACACGAAACAAAAATACTTTTCCGTTTGTATACCAAACATTCGTAATGGAATAAAATCAGATATCATTCACAGGATTTCTACACAATATAATTAATGAAAGAAGTAAAAATTTCACTTGCATGGAACACTGTCATCCTCACTGCTAGACATCCGATGTTTCACTGTAAGACACTTGCATTATCGGCTCTTCAGAAGCAAATACGGATAATATTAGAACAAAAAACACTCAATTCCCCCATTTTTTGTATCAAGATGGAGAAGTACAAAGCCAAAACCATTCTGTCCCAAAAATATATCAGATATTCCTAATTTACTCAGTTTTATTATATGTTCACTGTTTGCTATGATGCTGGTTACATATATTTTGTTTATTTTAGGTATACCAGTAATATTTCAAGAGGAGCTAGAAGAGAAGCCTGAACCAGGAACTAAAGCTCCTGTCATCTTAAAAGATGAAAAACCACCTCTTGCTCCACCAGAGTACAGCAAGAGTGGTTCTGTCAAATTATCCGATGACTCTGAACCATATCAGCCTCCACCACCTTTCACTCGCACCCAAGATAACGGCAGGCAACCCAGACCAAAACCGACCCCTACCTATAGGAAACCACCCCCATATGTGCCACCTTAACAATTGCATTTCACTTTTTTTCAACAATAATTTGTTTTCAAACTGCCAATGCATAGTTCATCGGACAATTTTTTGGATTGCTTTGATTTTTATTTGTCACCCGGTCTTGAGGAAGGTAAAGTACTGGGTCGCTTCTTGATGCCAAAATGTATCGCCCACAACCTTTTATTTCTATGGCTCTCAAATGATTTTTATCTCATTGTAAATCTCTTCCTCTGTGATATTCACTGCTATTATTTGTAGGGGTTTTATTTAATTTTTTTCTGATGTGGGTGATTTATTTTTTATATTTATTTGAGAAATAGACATCACAAGTAAATACTTTGCTTTCAACCAAATTCAACCAACTTGGATGTTTAGCATATTTTTAACATTTTAACTCGACTTATTTTTACTCACAATATGGCTTCTAGCTCTTAAGAACACTACTGACGAAGGGTGATCTCAAAATTTTACAATCATAATTTCGAAAACATGTTAAGTTCGAGGTACTTATAAATGTACTTATAATATTTTTCTCCTATCCATATTCACATTGACTATGTAACAATATGAAGAACTGATGATGACTTTCGAATTTTTTTCATGTTCATGTTCCTCCAAAAAAATATGTATCAGATTCATTAACGGGTAAAGATAGTAAAAATCCCTGCAAGTTTCAAAAATTTCTGTCATTCAGTTTCTCAAAATATTGATCTCTTAAAATTGAAGTGTTAACAACCAAATATTCATAATTTCAGCGTTCACGCTTTCACAAGCATTCACTTTGATTATATGGAAGGAACTAAATAAAAAAAAGTCAAGACTTGAATTTTTATCTCTCATTGTATTGAAAAGCCAAAAAACTTCTTAGAAATTATGGGCTGATCAGAGTCAAATCTTTTTATAACTATAGTTGAACTTTACATGCTATCATTAATGAGATGAAAATATTGATAATATTCTTGATGAGTCGCAGGCCAAGAACAACTAACGAGATGATTTGAGTTATCTCAATTCACCCATTCATAAATGATTGATTATTTGTATAATAACAAGTAGTGCAGTTGAAAAAATAACATAGACTTAGAAATAAATAAGGCTGTTTTTATTTGCAACTATCTATATGTGTATGGTTTTATTCATGAATATGAAAGTTACTTACCGCACAAGTTGTGTAAGATATAGGACGTTATAATATAAAGTTTTCCTATTGAATTATTCATTATTTTTATACAAATTGTTTGAATGTTCATGAATCAAACCAAATTTTCAAGCACACTTTTTTGTATAGGCATTTGTTTTATATGGAATATTTTTTTTGTAATTAGTTACCAATAACCATTTTGTAAAGATATTTTTGGTATATTTTACAAATCTTTTACATATATTTGATTCATATCATTAATATTAGGAAGACAATATAATTTTGATGTTCTGTTTAGATTTTTAAGTGTGTCATATCAGAATCTCATAATGCCCCCATATCATACTTTTGTATTAACCAGTCATGATTATTGTAATGTTCAATACATTTAAAATAATATTCAGCAGAAAATTCAATTTTTATATTTGTTTTCCCATATTCCCAAACCCTGAACACAATATGACTACATAAAGTCAGGTTTACCTCAAATATTGCCAGATCATCCGAATACCCTGAAAAATAACACAATATATAACAATTTAAAGTTAAGGCATGGTTCGGACACAAATAAAGAGGTTGCATGTTGTATTACAGTGATTGGCAGAATGATGTGAAAAAAATATTTTCACAAAAATTGAACAATTGAAACATTTCTGTCTTTGAAAACCTAAAAAATATATTTTAACTTTGACATAATGTACAAATTTATTGAAGAGTATATGTCAGAAGTCAAACCAATGTAAATATATAGAAAAATAGTTTTGGGTGTCTTTACTATCGACAAATTCATATGGAAAAGCGAAACTGTAACTTCTAGCATAAAATAAATCCAAAAAAAGTACTTTTCTCAATCATCATAAATGCAATACTCTTCTTGACGCGCGTTTCACTAATTAAGTTGGCAACTTCAGGAGATGAAGAAAACTAGATGTTTTTGAGAGGATAAATGCTATTTAGGGAGCGTCATGGCTATTCACAGTCTGGTTAGTCATATGAAGAATAGCAAGATCATTTCATCTTCAATTAGATGAATCATTGCGAGAAAAATATCCGTATGAAGGTGGATTCTAACTCATGATCTTTGAATTATCAGTCAGGCATACTACTACTGCACTAATTTACTTCCGTGGAAATATACCATTTAGATGTACTTCCTTAGCTAAATAGAAATTTTCAAAGAAATTATAAAAAACATTTAGTTTTTTATGAACTGCCAGTTACATTTCTGAAATATAGTATTGTATTTTTTTTTACTCANCCAGTTACATTTCTGAAATATAGTATTGTATTTTTTTTTACTCAGACCAGAACAAGCATTATTAGTAATATTGTTCAAAATGTAGAAAGATCTTCCCATATAAGAACATATATCTAACGTTTCTAAGTTGATATATCATTGACAACTTCTCAGATGACGACTTAGTGACTTCCACAGTATTGAATGAATATCTGGGAGTATAATGTTCATAACAGATGGTCAATTTCGTTCTCCTTAGCAGATATCGTCATCTTCGGCAATATCATATTACCAATATGTGAACTACAGAACAATTTATAGTATTAAAATCTGTTAAAAACTTCTAAGTTTTATATCAATTTAGCACAGAACCTAAAAGAAAGTAATAAACTCTTCCAAACAATTATTTAGTTTCATTTTGTCATAAGAATAAATGGCATTAATGAATATAAAAAATACGTGACCTTGAATTGAAAAGATGATATTATTAAGGGAAGATTAGTTTTTGGGAAATTTGTTTTGAAGATAATTTTACTTTCTTCATGTCTTCGGAAGTTTCCCTATTTTTTATTTTGACGATGGAGAATCAGTAAGCCAAAACATTTTCCTTCAATACTTAACTGATGATTCAATAAATATCTGTTGTACCTTTATTTCCAAGGTTGTTGAAATGCATTATATTAAATTCATACAAATTCATTCATTTGAATAGTTTAGGAATTCAATGAAGGTTGAGGATTGGTAAAAATTGGCAATAATAATTGTTATTATTTCAATTAATTATTATTAATTGTCACCATTTATTATTCTCATAACCTATGAAATAGCTT